GAGAGAGAGAGAGAGAGAGAAGCCCCCTGATCGGGGGATGGAACCCACAACCTAGGTATGTATGTGCCCTGACCGGGAATTGAACCTGCAACCTTTTGGTGTATGGGAGGACACTCCAACCAACCGAGCTACCTGGCCAGGGCCCCTGCATGCCATTTTTAGTGTGGTGTATGTAACAGTTGTAAACTCGGTTGTTGGGATTCTCTGGAATGACCCCTAAGTGCACTCCCTTCTGAGGACTGCTTTATTGTCAAAGATACAAACAGAACCATAACAAAGTCCACACTTTCAACCCATGAAATATTCTTCTTGAGGACCTAGTTTGGTGCCAGGAAATGTGCTATAGAGTGAGGATAGTGAAATAAATTTAGGATGTGGTCCTTGTCCTCAAGAGCATCTCATTAGGTAGATGAGAACATTACCCAGGCAGTGTTCTCTGGAATGCATCCTTGAGGGGGCCCATGTAAGGAAGCATCAGGAGCAGGAGCCTCTCCAATGGTTGTTTTATTTTTAATCTAGAAAATCTCTAAGGGATCTTCCAGAGATACTGGCTGAGGTTCCATGTGTGTCCACCACAGAGACGCAGGAGCGGTGATCTCACCTCCCTCATAATCCCTGTGGCATCCTCGGTCTTCCGCCCACTGAGTCTCTTCCTTTTGAGGCCTTTAACCTAAGGAGACCTGCCCTTGGACCATCAACTTCCTTCGAATCACCCTCTCATCTCTCACTTTTGTTGAGTGCCAGACTTGAAACTTGTCAGATCAGAGGCCTTGCAAATGTCTTATCCACTGCTCCATGTTCTTAAAACAGTGGTTCCTATTCTTTTTGGATGATGAGCCCCTTTGAAAAGTTAATAAAACTTTTGTTACTCTTGCCCTCCTCTTAAGGAAAAAATACACGTTGCACACAATTTTTCCAAATCTCCTGAAGCCCAATTCCACAGTCCCAGCCTTTGAACACTCCCAGGAGTCTCCCCTGACACTCTTCTTTCACAGCTCCTCCACTTCTCTCGTGTGCCCCTTTCCAGGTGCCCCCTGCACTTTCTAACTTGGTCCCACTGACCCCTCTCCTACAGCTCTCTCTGGAGGATCACCTCCTTAGTGAGCACTCACTGTTGTCTCATGCTTCTGCCCATTGGAATGACTGTTCCATACCCACTGGTGTCATCTGCAGGGGTCTCTAACGCAAAATGTCCTGTATTAAATTCATCATCTTATCCGCTGCCCCCAAACTGGATCCTTTCCCCAGTTTCATCTCCCTCTACAAACAATTTCCCATTATTTCAGGGGAACCCCAGGGCCCTGCACTCTCCCCATTATTATCCTGATTCAATTGTAAACTGTGTAGTGCTGGACTCGGCATGGAATCGGAACCACATTTGGCTCATCTCTTCAACTCAGTATCCATTTCCCTGTGTTGTTGATTTTGACTTTAAAATGTCTACTGGGCTGGATCCAGGTGGCTGCTCTCCTCAGGACATCTTCCTAAGCAGGACAAGTGATGGTGCGAGGGGCCAGGGGCAGAGCCACTCACAGTCTTTAAAACAGGTAAACCTTCAGATGAACAGCTTGAAAGGAAAGAACAAGTAACTTGCCATTGTGTTCTTAGTTGAACTCCCCATTACGCTCAGTGTTGTTTCAAGGGCAAGACTGTACATGACTTGATTATAGACACAGTAGGTTTTCATTCAGTTGGCTTGGTCATAAAGCTGATGCATGCTTTATAAAATGGTAAAAATTCATAAACAGAGGGTAGAAGGCCAGGCTTTGCATAGTCTTGAAGCAGCAGGATCACAGTTAGTCATGTCCCTAAACGCCCAGCCAGCTCCTGGGGAATTCAGCCTACTCTCTGTTACCAGGACCATCGGGGCTGTGTGGAAGGAGTGGAAGGAGAGGGGCCGGGCAGGGTGTGCTGGGGAAAAGATGTCTGCCCCTCTGCTCCATGTGGAGGAGTGTTGGGCAGGGGAACTCACCAGGCAGATTTTTTTTTTTTAATCCTCACCAGAGGATATTTTTTCCAATGCTTTTCAGAGAGAGAGTGGAAGAGAGAGAAGGAGGGNTAGGCTGAGGCTTTTTTTTTTTTTAATAATTTCTTAATTGATTTTTTAGAGAGAGAGAGAGAGAGAGAGAGAGATATCAATTGGTTGCCTCCCACACACGCCTGGACCAGGGCTGGGGATTGAGCCTGCAACTGAGATACGTGCCCTTGGCCGGAATCGAACCCAGGACCCTTCAGTCTGGAGGCCAACGCTCTAACCACTGAGACAAACCAGCCAAGTCCCACCAGGCAGATTTTGTGAGGTGCCTGGGAGAAAGGGGAGGGAGCAGAGCCCACTCCAAACCTTTACCTCTGGGTGGCCTTCGCCACCTGCTGCTTGTCCAAGGCTGGAAAGGAAGGCTTAAACCAAGGTTAGGTTGACTGCAAATAGTGCTCAAAGAATATGTTGTGACGAATTTAACACCAGCTCTGGATCTTGTTCTTAGAGTAACCCGGGGTTTTCCTTCATTTAAAAAAATTAATTAAGGCCTGACTAGTGAAAATAATACCTTCAAAAAGAATGTCAGTGCAAGACATCTCCCTCAGAAGATAACTCTTTCTAAACGTAAAGCATTCCTGCAGCATTGCAGTGAGCAATGGGACTTCCCTGGTCCTTATTAAAAACCAATACTCTAAGGCATGTTTATGTTAAAATCAGGCCCACTTTTCTCTCTGGCACAGCATCTTGTACAATGCTGTGATCTAATTTACTTTAAAACCTGTGACTTCAGATGGACAAATGGGCAGCACGGAGCTGCTCTGTAGTGAGAACACAGGGTCCTCAGGGCACACAACACCCTGGGGGTGGGCGCTCTCCCAGAGAAGATGTTGTTTGGGATGGGAGCTGTCAGCACACAAGGCTGAGATGCTTATACATTTGGGCTTCCTCAGATCCATCTGCAGTGTGGAGCTGGAGGCTTGGCCCCTCTGCCTGAATGAGCCCAGGGCTCATGGTGCTGGGATACAGTTGGGGAGAGGAGAGCAACACTCACTGGACTTTCCAAATTTCCTCCAAATCATGACTGTCTTCTCCTCAAATGTGGATCTTAAATTTGATACAGTGAATTCAGTGCCTAAGAGAAATTCTCAGCTGCTGGGCAGTCCACTTACCTCGTCCACAGTCCATCGGGCCACTTCGCCTGCCCGGATGTTGGCCACGCCTGGAAGCAGCTTGCAGTGCTGCTCCCTGCCGAGGGGCAGGTCCCGGAAAGGGTGGGCGGACATGGATGTCATGAAGACAGACTGGTGCAGTGCCTGCTGCGTCTGCTCCACTGAGTATTCTGAGAGAGGCAGGGGTTGGGAAGCAGAGGGTGCGAATTAGTCAGCAGCATCTAGGTCAGCCTCTCGTTATAGAGGTCCAGAGTCAGGCTAAGTAAAGTGCAGACACAGTGGGAAGCCTGGTCGTCTGGCCACACTGCATCACTGCCAGGAGTCCCGAGCACAGCCAATGCCACAGCTATATAAGGCCTTGAAGACTGTGGCTAAACAAGTTCACATAATCTCTATGACACACTGTTGGATGCCAGCGAAGAGCTAGCTTGTCACGGCCACTGGCTTCTCTCTCCCTAATTCAGGAGTCAGGAAGCACAGCACCTGGCTGCTGGGACTATCAAGTGGATGGGCACACAGAGGTGGGCACCCACACAAAGAACGACTCCTTCCTGGAAGCCGCTTTACCTGTTTCCAAAGAAAGAACGAGCCCAGGTCCACATCTGGCTTCATAGGCCCCCTGGGGGACACTGAACAGAAAATTCAGCACAGAGTCCCCCTGAGAACCTGGGTGGCAGTTGCTGCTGTAGCTTCCAGCCAGGATGACCTTATGGGACTTGCAGAGAGCAGCCGCAGCTGGGATGGGACTGCCCTCGCGCACACACCCTAAAGGGTGCTCCCTTTTTGAAGCAAAAGCTGTGAATGTGCCCTGGTTGGGTCTATGGCATGGGGAGCAAGGGCTGCTGCTTGCCCAAGACTGGCAGTTATCACCAAGGAGTAGGACTTCCTTACGCCCCACACTTCTCCCCAGCCTTTCTGAACTTGTTTTCCACTTTCAAGAGTGACTTTTTATATCCAACGTGTAGTTGGAGCTCAGGTTCCCTTGTTATTTTGCTTTGAATGTACACATAAGGAGCAAAAACATTATAGCAATTTCAGAGAAAAACTCATGCCTTTTTAACATCTTTTAAGATACTTTCAATACACATTAGCAAAATAAAGTTAATATTTTAAGACGTTGAAGAGAAAGACCACAAAAGGAAATGCGTTAAGCCCTTTAACAGCCTGCCTTTCCTAATGCAAATGGAAGGCTAAGTAAGCAGTAGCCACATAATTTAAAGTCTATTATGATGATTTGTGTTTTACTGACGGAGTCTGAAAAGCTATTATGCAAATATCTCCACTCAAATTAATGACCAATTTTTAGTAGGTGAGGCTGACTTGCACTTTGCATGGTACCTGATAGTCACCAGAGAGTTTCTAAGCTGTGAAGGAGCCTGTCCATCACCCCCTGGCTGCTCGGCACAGATGTCCCACATATTTACCAAAGCTTGTTGTCTACACAGATAAAGAGACAGTGAAATTGCAGCCTCCTCCCAAATTCTTATGCTCCAGTTGCAAGCAGCAGCAAATTTGTCTCTAAATGCTGATTGTCCAACACTGACCTTTTTAGTATGTAAATAGGTTATCTCCCTCCCCATAGTGTAGTTCAGCCAACCGCAGGTTCTGAAGGGAAGCTTCACATCTTCAAAACGCCAGTACGTTTACAAATGTGAATGTTCCTTAATAAAGTTGTCAGGTTGGACATGGGGCACGTACAAAACAAGCCCTGAAAACCCAGGCTGGGAGCGTCACAGAGCAAGTCTGCAGCCCCAGCTATGCAGAGTTACTGAGGGCTTTCCTGGGAAGCCAAGAGTTAAAGCTCTGTACTCTTAGGGATTAAGACCTGAGCCAAAGCCAGGCTTTATTCTGGAAAAGAATCACTGCATCAATCAATCGGTTGTTTTTGCCGAAATAACATGGACTTAAAAGAGAAACAAATCACATATGTATCTCTAACTCATGACCTTTGTAAGTCAGTTGTGTATAGTTTCCAAAATGTATAGGACTCTGAAAAGACACAAGTAATGGATCTTGTGTTGTGGAGGTACAGAGATGTTGAGTGCTGATCATCAGATTCCTATAATTCACAAACAAATGCTGAAGGTATGTGACATAACCACTGTGCTCCCAAACAATAAAATTTTCCACATAGTAATTTTGGAAGCAAATTGCCTTGGCTGTTGAGACATCCACTTGGAAAGAAACTGAGCTCTGGAAGATCAGGGACTTCAGTCAGTGCAAGCAGCAAGTCGACCTTCAGGTTACAACTAACATCGGGAGCTCTAGCTCTATGCTGCACACCTCAACTCAGGCTGGCTCTATGCTTTCTATGGCTTTTGAATTCTGTTAACTGTGTCCTTATTAAATCAAACTATCAAACTCTCTNGGCTTTTGAATTCTGTTAACTGTGTCCTTATTAAATCAAACTATCAAACTATCTTTTTATTTTATTTTTTTATTTTTTAAATATATCTATTGATTTCAGAGAGAAGAAAGGAGAGAGAGAGATAGAAACATCAATGATGAGAGAGTCATTGATGGAGCCTGCAACTCAGGAATGTGCCCTGACTGGGAATCGAACCCCGATTGCCTGGATCCTAGGTTGATGCTCAACCCCTGAGCCACGCCCAGCCAGGCATCAAACTATCTTTTTAAATGGAGGCGAATTCTAGAGTTTTGAAAGGATGAAGAGAACTGAGTGGGGAACAGGTCCTTTACGCCATGGTCAGCTGGGAAAGGTCTGCTACCACCTGCTAGGCTGCGGACCCCCTGCCGGGTGCCAAGTTCCCTGTGTCTGTTTACCGGCAACCTCAGGGTTTGGGGCATGCTTGCCAGTACAGGTTATATGCTCAACATGAAAATAGTTTTTTTTATTATCAATTTTACTGTATCAACTTTATATTATCAGATGGAAAGCGTGCAAGTTGAGTTTTCTTTCTCATTTCTAGGAAAGACTTGAGTTAGGTTAGAGAGAGTCCCCGAGTAGGGGGCCTGGACACCAGTCTGCCGTGTCTAAGACATGACCGGGCTGGCAATACTTACCGGCAGGACTGGCAGGAGGGGAAGGAGGGTGCGCAGAAGGGCGTACTTAGTGTGGCCCCAGCATACTGCACCCACTCAAACGGTAGATGCGACTCTAAACTCGACTGCAGGCTCCTAGAGGTCAGGACTGGTGTTCCATGAAGGGAATTTGCATAATTAGAAATTAACACAATGCAAGACTAATTTTCCAAGAGTAACAAAGAGAGAAAATGCATTTTGGAGAGTGTTTCGTGGTGGTTGTTGTGCCTTCCTTGTGTCTAATGTCTTCCAAAGCTGTTGGTTTTGGGCGAGATCTTCAGGTTTAGCTGGAAGAAGGCCAGGACAGGTGTGCCGCAGAGGAGTGCACCCCAGGGGGGGGAGGGGTCTGTGCCAGCCGCCTGGCTGTGAATCTTTGTCCCCAGGTCAGCAAGAGTGGCCGTGGGTGAGTTACTTAACACCTAGGTATCAAAGTTTCTCATCTTAAAAATGGGATAATAATAATACTATACTCAGTGAGTTGCTGGGATTAGAACAGCTCTTGGTACATTATAAGTGTTCAGTCCATGTTAAATATTACATTACTGTTATAAGATGCAAAGATATTAAATAGTGTAACAATAGTGACTATGGGGACATATAATATTTCCAAAGCCAGTATGGCTAGATTGGCCTAAAATCTATAAAAGCTGAAATTCAGACTGAAACTCGGTATCTTCACTGCCACATTCAGATTTCACACCCCAAGGGTCCTGGAATGACTGTGTGGTGTTCACCAAAAACATCTGTGAAAGTCTTAATGGAAGAAAATGAGGAATCCACAGGGCACTGCCATGCAGGGTGGGGTATCTGTTTCCCAGGCAAATGGTGCTGATGATAGGCACCCATGTAACTGTGTTAAAACATGCTCAGCCTGCCAGCTTTGAAATTCTGTGGCTCTTGACAGACTTTTAAAATGTGGGATGATGTGTATTATTTTTAAATTCTGTGCATAAAATTCTACTTTTGAAATGATCCACTTACATTTTTGTACACTTTTATCTAATGTGAACACACTGATTTTAATTTTTACAAAGACGGTACAGCTCATGTCATATTAGTTCTTACTAAATAGCTATTAATGAATTAAAGAGCATGAGCCTTTGATGGAGGGGTATGCTGTTTTCAGAACCATTCTCACTGAATCAAAAGGATCGGATTACTCTACCTTGGGGCATCTTAAATGAACAGTTTTCTAGGTTAGAACTGTCTACCATGAGCAGAGTGCAGAAAGGGTCTTTTTAACTGAGTAACTTCTGTATTTCTTCTACCAGGCCCAGCATCCCGGCCCTGTGTCCACCCAACACAGCTCAGGGATACAGGATGCTTCTCAGACAGGCTGCCTCACTGTAGCAATGATTCCTACCCAGCTCCCCTAAGTCAGCCAAGGAAATTCGGCCTGTAAAAGCAGCCCTCCTACTGGAGGTTTTAATATTCTAATCAATCAATATGCCTTTTGTGCCAGAAAATGAAATGCATGTATAATCCTGGTTTGCCTCTAGCACTAATGTGAGAGTGACAATAGATGACTGTCCCTACACTGAAGATGGCTTCACCTTCCAGAAAACTGTAATATACATAATTCGTGTCACCTCAGTGGTTTGCCATTTGTAGAACAGTTTTGTTGGAAGAACTCTTTTGCTACAATTTTTCTCTCATTGGGTATTTCTTTGGGCTTTCCTACCTTTTAAAAAATATAATGAAGTGTTTAATGATTTCAGTCAAGGTGCTGGAGATTTGGAGCCTTCACAAGTTTCTAAGGCCAGAATCTTCAGCTCTGAGTCTAGCTCCAGGATCCAAGAAGGCCCTGGACTGGAGCACCAGAGACTTGGCCACAGGTGAGTCAATTTAGCAGCACGCAGGAGCAAATATATAGTTTCATCCCCCAAAATGTCATTACCTTTTTTGTAGGGGCAGAACCTGCTGGAATCCAATTGACTCCCTGATGTCATGCTCAGCAGTGCTTTCTGCTTCTGCTCTTGAACAGGGAAAACCCCAGCCACGTAAAGCCGTCTTCTCCACATCCCTGGGACAGCCAGACTGGGCCAACCTTGGGTGGGGTAAGACTCAGGGGCTGCCTTTCAGGTGAAACAACTGAATAGATGGTGTACAGGACTGTCTGCTTCCTGAT